ACATATTCCTGGGCCTCCCCAGTGGTGCAGCGATTGAGTGCTGGGTTGCGAAGCTGCCCTCGGCCTCCATGGCGCCGGTTCGATCCCCGGCTGCTCCCCGGCCACTGGAGGAGGGTCCCACATGGCGCGCAGACCTCTCCTGCCGCCCGCTGCTCCCCTCAGCAGTGTACTTCGGTCCTTCTGCCTGCTCTGCTCCCCACTCTGGCTCTGGTGAATTCTCTCACCCTCCCGCGCTTCTGACTGTACCCAGTGCTTGTATAAACAAACAAACAATCAAATAAATAAATAAAACATGCCTCTATTAAAAAAAAAAGAAAAGAAAAACATATTCCTGTGTGCAGAGATCGCCAACTCCCCCTCCAACCTCAGGCTTCTAGTGCCTTTAACCTGCCGTAAGAGCAAATAATGCAAGAATCACACAAACAAGGGATCACAAAATTTCACAGCTGGGAACCTCAGGGTTGCTCTGATTCAAACCCCCAGAACCTTTTGAGCACAAGATAGGGCAAAGGGAGAGATTGTACAGAAAGGGGCCAGACAGGAACAAACAAATTAAGCATCCAACTGTGAGTGCCCCATCAGGCTGAGATCCTGGGAAGATCAGCTTATTAATGATTTTTGAAATGTGTAAACCAGAGGCTGCCTTACCTCTACTGTTGACACCGGTTAACAGCCACATCAACACTGCCTCACTTTATAAGATCCGTTTCACAAGCTGCCTCTCTTTAAATAAAGTTAACTTTCTATTAAATTGCTAAATTTCTAGCAACTTATAAGACAAACACACCCAAAAAAGACCTGCTTGACACAGTTTAAACAACATGCAGTACTACCACCCAGATATAATCACAATTTCTTTTTTTATGACTTTTTAAAAACAGTGTATTGTGAAAGATTTTTTCATATCATTACATTTTCCTCAATAGCGTTATTTTCCTTGACATCATCTTTTTATTTTTTTAAATTGGAAAACAACTGACATATAACCCTAAATTAGTTCTAAGTGTGTAATGATTTGATATATGAGTGTATTGGGACATATCTACCAAAGGAAGTTTAGTTAACCTCTGTCACCACACATAGTTACAAATTTCATTCTTGTGATGAAGAATTTCTTTCTTTCTTTTTTTTAAAGATTTATGCACACAAGAACTGGGGTACAGGCCAAAGGTGCAGGAGGGTGAGAGGATTCACCAGAGACAGATTGGGGAGCAGAACAGGCAGATTTAGTGAAATATACTGCTAAGGGGAGCTGTGGGCGAGACAGGAGAGGTCTGCTGTGCCATCTGTGAGCTAGCTCCCTGGTCAGGGATCCAACTCAAGCTGCAGTGGCTGGCAATAGCTTGATAATGCTGAGAATTAACCCCTTGCGCCGCCGGAGCAAACATTTCTTTTTAAAAGCATTTAAACTTTCCTGTGACCTTCATTAGTAAAGGAATGAACGCCTAGGAACCCCAGTGTTTGTTTCACCCTTTTTTTTTTTAAGATTTATTTATTTTTGCATACAAGGACTGGGTGCAGGTCAGAGGTATGAGGAGGGGGTGAGAGGATTCACCAGAGAGAGTGGGGAGCAGAACAGGCAGATCTACTGAAATACACTGCTGACGGGAGCAGTGGGCAAGACAGGAAAGGTCTGTTGTGCCATATGGATTCTCCCTGCCCAGCCAGGGATTGAACTCATGCTTCAGAGGCTACAGATAGCTTCACAGTGCTGTGCTTAACCCCTTGCGCCACCAGGGAGGCCCATGATGAGAAATTTCTAAATGACTGTTATTAATTTGAAAAATAAGAGCAATCTTTTATTGCAACATGGTGCTAAGCATTTTATTTATATTATTGCAATTAAGAAAAGTTTAGATAATCATGTCGAGGTGATTATGTTACGTGAAATAAGTCCAAAGTGAAAGACAGCTATCAGATGGTTTCATTATCTGTGGATTATAAGTAACACAAAAATATACCTGTGGGGCCTCCCTGGGGGGCAAGGGGTTAAGCACCGCACTATGAAGTTATCTGCAGCCTCTGCAGCATGAATTCGATCCCTGGCCAGCCAGGGAGCTACCCACATGGCACAGCAGAACTCTCCTGACTTGCCCACTGCTCCCCTCAGCAGTGTATTTCAGTCAGTCTGCCTGTTCTGTTCCCCACTCTGTCTCTGGTGAATCTTCTCACCCTCCTGCTCCTCTGTCCTGTACCCCAGTTCTTATATGCATATATAAGTAAATCTTTATTTTTGTTTTTTAAATATTTATTTATTTATACAAGCACTGGGTATAGTCAGAAGTGCGGGAGGGTGAGAGAATTCACCAGAGCCAGAGTGGGGAACAGAACAGGCAGACCGACGAAACACACTGCTGAGGGGAGCAGCGGGCGTGGCAGGAGAGGGCTGTCACAACATGTGGGATCCTCACTGGCGACTGGGGATTGAACCGGTGCTGCAGAGGCTGCAGGCAGCTTCACAGCCCAGCGCTCAACTGCTGCACCACCAGGGGAGGCCCCAGTAAATCTTTAAAAAAAAAAAAAAAAAAAAGTCGGGCCTCCCCTGGTGGCGCAGGTGGTTGAGCACAGCGCTGTGAAGCTGTCCGAAGCCTCTGCAGCGCCAGTTTGATCCCAGCCAGCTGGCGAGGGTCCCACATGGTGTGGCAGACCTCTCCTGTCTTGCCCGCTGCTCCCCTCAGCAGTGTATTTCATCATTCTGCCTGCTCTGCTCCCTGCTCTGTCTCTGGTGAATCCTCTTACCCTCCCACATGTCTGGCCTATACCCCAGTTCCTGTATAAATAAAAATAAATAAATTAAAAAAAAAGTCCTCTCTGGCTGCCTGAAGAGCCGTCACCATCATGAGTGACATAGTAACTATCCGGACCAGAAAATTCATGACCAACTGACTGTATCAGCAGAAACAAATGGTCCTGGACATCCTTCACCCTGGGACGGCAACAAGACCTACAGAAATTTGGGAAACACTAGCTAAAATGTACAAAAATACCCCCAGTGTCATCTTTGTATCTGGATTCAGGACCCATCTGGAAGTGGCAGGATAGCTGGCTTTGGCATGATTTATGATTCCTGGGATTATGCAAAGAAAACTGAACTCAAACTTGCAAGACATGGCCTATATGAGAAGAAAAAAACCTCAAGAAAACTGTGAAAGGAACCCAAGAAAGTCAGGGGGACTACAAAGGCCAATGTGAGTGTTAGCACAAAGGAAGAACCGTTCAGCAGTGATTTTATCTGTATCTGCGGTGACTGTGCAGATTTTTCAGAGGATTAATAAAATCTTTCATGTGTCTGGCTATCTGAAAAAAAAAAAAAAAAGTTTAAAAAAAAAGATTTCAACTGGGGCAAGAGTGGGGGAACTGTTGGTGGGGGTTGTGTTGCTAGGGGTTGGGAGTGGTGTGGTACCTAGCCAGAGTCACACTACTTATTAAGCGACAGACTGGGATTCACACCCAGGTCCACCTAACTGACACATAAGGTTTCCTGGTAAAAACACACTACCCCTCACTGCACCAATCTCCAGTTGCTAGGCAATCTGACTCCTGTAATTTTTCTCTATCATAAACAGTGCTACATGAACATCCCTACCCCGAAATCATTTTGATCATCTCCTTTCAGCTTGAAACTTTTCCGGATTGCTCTAAACAAATTCTGCTTCTCAAATCCTCTGTGGCCAAGGACTTCTCTTCTTTGTTTTTCAACTCATGGTGGACTGATACATTTGTAAAATGCAATGAAGATTAATTTCCAGAAATATGAAATGAAAGGGGCCTCCCTGGTGGCATAAGGGGCTAAGTTTCAACACTATCAAGCTATCCGCAGCTACTACAGCATGAGTTCGATCCCCAGCCAGGGAGCTGACCCACATGGCGTGGGAGACCTCTCCTGTCTCACCCGCTGCTCCCCTCAGCAGTGTATTTTGTCAGTCTGCCTGTTCTGTTTGCCACTCTGTCTCTGGTGAATCCTTTCACCTTCCCCCACATCTCTGGCCTACACCCCAGTTCTTTTATTTATTTTTTATTATTTTTTAAAGTTTTATTTATTTATGCATATAAGAGCTGGGTTATAGGCCAGAGATGCGGGGTATGAGAGGATCCACCAGAGACAGAGTGGGGAACAGAACAGGGTGAGACAGGAGAGGTCTGCCTTGCCATGTGGGTTTCTCCCTGGCCGGCTGGGGATCGAACTTGTGCTGCAGAGGCTGTGGATTGCTTCATAGTGCGGTACTTAACCCCTTGCGCCACCAGAGAGGCCCTACACCCCAGTTCTTTTCTTTTTTAAAGATTTATTTATTTATACAAGAACCGGGGTACAGGCCAAATGCGCGGGAGGGTGAGAGGATTCACCAGAGACAGAGCGGGGAACAGAACAGACAGACTGACGAAGTACACTGCTGAGGGGAGCAGCGGGCAAGACAGGAGAGGTATGCTGTGCCATGTGGGATTCTCGCCGGCCTGCCGGGATCAAACCAACACTGCAGAGGCTGCGGACAGCTTCACAGCACCGTACTCAACCGCCTGCGCCACTAGGGAGGCCCTACATCCCAGTTCTTGTATGCATAAGTAACTTTTTAAAAAAATATGAAATGAAAATCACATATAAAATACAAGTGCCAAAAGGTTAAAATGGAAAAAAAAAGGTTAAAATGGTACATTTTATGTCATATTTTATCACACACACAAAAAATACAAGTCCCATTTAAAAATTACTAGATTCAAGAGATTTCTGTCAAATTGCTAGAAAGTCTCTAAATTTTTATTGTTCATTTTCTGGATAATGATGTGGAGGACCAGGTAACTGAGGCGGCAAGCAGACTTGCTCTGCTACCTCAGCCCTGGCTGGCAGTCTACCTGGCTCCCCTCCCCAGACTGCCTGTCCCGCCCATGTCTGGTTCACTGCTGAGTGCTCTGGCTCAGAGCCCAGAGCCTGCTTACAGGCTCTGTGGCCTGAGGGAATGTGCAAGTAATGTCTCTGGCCTCAGCTGCTAAGAGAGGCTACTCACCATTTGGAACCAGAAGGAGGCTTTTCACAATGCTCCTAAGGGGTCCAAGACTAATCTGATTGCTGGTGGCAAATTCAGAGAGCTGGGTCAGAAAGCGCTCCACCTGCAGGGAGGGAACAGCACAGAGAGGCCTTTATTTTCTGAGTGTCTCGGCACCACTGACCCACACTCAGGATCTCTCCTCATCACTAAATACTTTACCTCTTTGGGTTCAGTCAGGAAACGGAAAAGCACTTCTGTGAGGACTGAGAACTGCTGTGAAGAGAATAACATAGAGTATCAGTAACATTCAACTCTTGAGTCATCCAAATAGGGACCCTTCAGGGGGGAGAACAGTAACACACAGGGTGTTGACACCTGATTATTTTGCTTTTTTATATTATTTTATTTATTTATGCATACAAGAGCTGGGGTGCAGGCCAGAGATGGAGGGGGATGAGAGGATTCACCAGAGATAGAGTGGGGAACACAACAGGCAGACTGACCGAAGTACACTGCTGAGGGGAGCAGTGGGCGAGTCAGGAGAGGTCTGCTGAGCCATGTGGGTTGCTCCCTGGATGGCCAGGGATCAAACTTGTGTTGCAGTGGCTGCGGATTGCTTCATAGCTTGCATCTTAACCCCTTGCGCCACCAGGGAGGCCCTTTTTAAAGATTTTATAATTTATTTTGCATACAAGAACTAGGGTACAGGCCAGAGGTGTGTGGGGGAAGTGTGTGAGGAGATTCACCATAGACAGAGTGGGGAACAGAACAGGCAGATTGACTGAAATACACTGCTAAGGGGAGCAGTGCGCAAGTCAGGAGAGGTCTACTGCGCCATGTGGGTAGCTCCCTGGCTGGGGATTGAACTCGTGCTGCAGTGGCTGCGGATAGCTTCATAGTCTGCATCTTAACCCCATGAGCTACCAGGGAGGCCCTGTTCTGATTATTTTATTAAAGATTTATTTATTTATTATTTATTTATACAAGCACTGGGTATAGTCAGCAGCGCGGGAGGGTGAGAGAATTCACCAGAGCCAGAGCGGGGAGCAGAGCAGGCAGAAGGACCAAAGTACACTGCTGAGGGGAGCAGCGGGCGGCAGGAGAGGTCTGCGCGCCATGTGGGACCCTCCTCCGGTGGCCGGGGAGCAGCCGGGGATCGAACTGGCACTGCAGAGGCTGCCGGCAGCTTCGCAACCCAGCGCTCAACCGCTGCGCCGCCAGGGAGACCCTGTTCTGATTATTTTAAAGTTACAAATATTCACAATACCCACTAACCCATGTCTGTGCCACTATAGTGTCTGAAAAACTTGCATTTTATTGGGATATTTGGGATACATACTGAGAGACTGTGACTGTGTGGACATGTTCACACATACATCCATACTAGCAATTATTTTTTTTGGTTTATACTTCCATAGATTTATTATTCACATAGAAGCTAATCCAAGTATACAACTTCCCTCTCTCACCCCAAATGGTAACACATTATGCAAACTTTTCCTCTACCTTGCTTTTTTTAAGTAGTTCCTTCTGTGTGGCTATATTGGAAGTGATTTTCATTTTCTGTTTTCTCTATTCATATTCTCCTTCACAACAGTTTGTTATATATATTACAAAATATTTTATTTTATATTAGCCACTATCTTAGAATAGCTTCTTACTCTTTTGTGCATATTAATCTTTCCTTCTCGTAATCTGTACAGTGTTGGTCAGGAACAATTGTTTGTGTTCCTCAGTGTTCCTAAGCGAGAATTCATAGGCTTGGAACACAGGATCCCAATATTTGGAGATAGGGGCTGTGAGGTGGTGCCTTGTATAACTGAGGGTTTAACACAGTAGAAACAAGAACAGTTAGAACTGCTTTAAGAATGTGTTTTTGGGCCTCCCCTGGTGGCGCAGCAGTTGAGTGCTGGGCTGTGAAGCTTCCCGAAGCCTCTGCAGCACCTGTTTGATCCCCAGCCACCAGCGAGGGTCCCACATGGCGCGACAGACCTCTCCTGCCGCACCTGCTGCTCCCCTCAGCAGTGTATTTCGTCAGTCTGTCTGTTCTGTTCCCCGCTCTGGCTCTGGTAAATTCTCTTACCCTCCCGCGCTTCTGACTGTACCCAGTGCTTGTATAAATAAATAATTAAAAAAAAAAATGTGTTTTCTAGTTTTCCTCTATTTCTTTAAAAAAATTTTTTGTGGTAAATCTGTGGAACTGTCTGAGCTTTGGCAAAGTGCATTTCCTATGCTACCCGGAGCCATTTAAAAACCAGGCCACAGAGAAGCCCTCCAGCTGCTTTTCCATTTTCAGATCTCAGCCTAGCATTCAGGCTCAACCTTTCTGTGAGGTCTCATCCCCCACCTTTTTTCAAGAGGGGCCTCAAGTTAATCTGGTCTCTTGACTGTTACAGACCTCCATCCCTATCTCCACTTTGTCAAGCCCTCATTATCCTTCAAAGCCTTGCCAAGATACCATGACACTCCCAACAAGAAAGGGACCTACCCAGATTCTTAACTTCTGAGGCTCTTGGAACCTCGCCTGGGGGCACTTAGAATTTTGAATCTAGATAAGGAAAACAAACGTGTCTTAGCAGAGAAGCTTCCTTGAATGGCCTTGTATGGCCACAACACCCTAATTATTGTAAGTGCACAGAAAGCATTTGTTGACTCTATCATCCCTAAACACTTTCCCCATTCTTTGCCTTTGCACCTGCATAGCTCTCTATCCTTGAATTGCTCACCTGCCTGCCACTATCCACAAAATCAAAATCTTAACTATTCTTATCAGAAAACATATGAGAAGATGCTCAAGATCTTTCCGGACTAGAAAATTTTAAGTCAGTGAAACAAGGAGACCATTTTTCACTTATCAGCAAAAATAAAAGTTTGAGGACACCAGTGCTAGAGAAAGCACAACAAAACAGATAAGCTCAGAGTTGATGAGAGGATAATCCCTTGACCTTGTAATTCCATTGCCAGAAATATACCGTTCAAATTTTAAAAATAAACCAGACACATTTACACAAAGCAAGTTGCTTATAGTTTTGTTCATAAAAACAAATAAACAAAACCGGAAAGAAACTTAATTATCTATTAATAATACTAAATAAATTATGGTAGATCTATTTTAAAGAATCTCATACAACCTCTTTTGCAAAAAATTGTTTTCAAAAAGAGACCCCTAGGGCCTCCCCGGTAGCACAGCGGTTGAGCGCTGGGTTGCGAAACTGCCCGCAGCCTCTGCAGCGCCAGTTCAATCCCCGGCCACCGGACAAAGGTCCCACATGGCGCGCAGACCTCTCCTGCCACCGCTGCTCCCCTCAGCAGTTGTATATCGGTCAGTCTGCCTGTTCTGTTCCCCACTCTGGTGAATCCTCTTACCCCTGCACCTCTGGCCTGTACCCCAGTTCTTGTATGCATAATCTTTAAAAAAATATAAAAATATATTTAAAAAATTTTTTAAAATCTAAAAAATAATTTAAAAAATAAAGACTATAATGACTTCTGTGGGGCCTCCCCGGTGGCGCAGTGGTTGAGCACTGGGCTGCGAAACTGCCACAGCCTCCATAGCGCCGGTTCGATCCCCGGCCATGGGGGAGGGTCCCACATGGGGCGCAGACCTCTCCTGCCGCGCCCGCTGCTCCCCTCAGCAGTGTATTTCTTCGTCAGTCTGCCTGTTCTGTTCCCTGCTCTGGCTCTGGTGAATCCTCTCACCCTCCCGCGCTTCTGACTGTACCCAGTGCTTGTATAAATAAATAAATAAATCTTTAAAAATAATAAATAAAATGACTTCTGAGGATAGAGGACATTTTATTTTACTTATATAGCTCTATATAATACTTGAATTTTAAAAAAAGAATTATTCCTTTATGTAAGATTTTTATTTATTTTACTTATTTTATATAGAACTTATTTTATATAAGAGACAGAGTGGGAAGCAGAACAGGCAGATCTACTGAAATACACTGCTAAAGGGAGCAGCGGGTGACACAGGAGAGATCTGCACTATGTGGGTAGCTCCCTGACAAGGGATCCAACTCAGGCCCTGGAGGTGGCAGCGCTGAGACATAACCCCTAGGCCACCAGGGAGGTCCAATATCTGAATTTTTTCTTTCATTTTTAGCTAGGTGAGAGGGCTGCCCACCAAGTGTTTATGTTTTTCTGGATTTATTTATTGAGGCTACATGGGTGTACCACAATGAAGATGTTCACATGAACACTGAATCAGTTCACACCTCTTCAGATCTGTCACCACAACCCCCACCAAAGCACCCATTGTCCTCTACCCTAGACGACTGAACCCGCCTCTATTTTGTTCCCACTTCCTCTCATAATCATTCAAAAAATGATTTTTTAAAAAAGATTTATTTATGTATATAAGAACTGGGGTACAGGCCATAGGTGTGGGAGATGAGAGGAGTCACCAGAGACAGAGTGGGGAGCAGAACAGGTGGATCTACTGAAATACACTGCTGAGGGGAGTAGCAGACGAGACAGGAGAGGTCTGCCACGCCATGTGGGTAGTTCCCTGGCCAGCTGGGGATCAAACTTGTGCTATAGAGGCTGTGAATAGCTTCACAGTGCTGTGCTCTACCCCTTGCACCACCAAGGATGCCCTAAAGATGATTTTTCTTTAAAGATTTATTTATTTATTTACACAAGCACTGGGTACAGTCAGAAGCGCGGGAGGGTGAGAGAATTCACCAGAGCCAGAGCGGGGAGCAGAGCAGGCTGAAGGACTGAAGTACACTGCTGAGGGGAGCAGCGGGTGGCAGGAGAGGTCTGCGCACCATGTGGGACCCTCCTCTGGTGGCCAGGGAACAGCCGGGGATCGAACCGACGCTGCAGAGGCTGCGGGCAGCTTTGCAACCCAGCGCTCAACCACTGCGCCACCGGGGAGGCCCTAAAGATGATTTTTTTAATCCTTCCTATTCTCAAGGCTTCACATTACCTAGAATTAACCACAGGCATCAGCACATCTAGATAGGCTTAGTACTGTATTTCTCTCCATTTTCTGACCTATCCCACCAGATCACAACTTCCCCGCATAAGAGGCCAGGTCCACCAAACCTACACAAATGTTAGTGGGTTTAGTGGCTATTTATCACAGGCATTCAGATAGATACCCACCAATGTTAATACAAAGACTCTTGGGCCTCCCTGGTGGCACAGTGGGTTGAGTGCAGCACTGTGAAACTGCCCACAGCTTCTACAGTGTGAGTTCAATTCCCCGCCGGCCAGGGAGATTCCCACATGGCATGGCAGACCTCTCCTGTCTTGCCTGGTGCTCCTCTCAGCAGTGTATTTCGGTCCTCTGCCTGTTCTGCTCTCTGCTCTGTCTCTGGTGAATCCTCTCACCCTCCCGTGCCTCTGGCCTGTACCCCAGCTCTTGTATAAAAATAAATAAATCTTAAAAAAAAAAAAAAAAAAAACTTTTTGCTCCTTGGGGCCTAGGCCTCAAACTTCAAAATAAATTCAGCTAAATGAGTGGGAAGTTTGAGCATCCCAACAAAAGGGGTTAGGATAAATGTCCTAAGGGACTCTGGTAAGTTGCTCATCAGGAAAGTTTTCTGTATTAAAGATAAAGGTAAAAGTTTAGAGTATTTCAAGATTTAAAAATGAGTTAAGGGCCTCCCTGGTGGTGCAAGGGATTAAGTCTTAGTACTATGAAGCTTGTGCCACCAGGGAGGCCCCCTAAAATAAATTAAAAAAATAATAAAAATGAGTTAAGATTTTATTTTAAAAACTAGTTTATATATATATTTAAAGATTTATTTATGCATACAAGACCTGGGGTACAGACCAGAGGTGCGGGGAGTGGGGGTGTGAGAGGATTCACCAGAGACGGAGTGGGGAACAGAACAGGTGGATGGACTGAAATACACTGCTGAGGGGAGCAGCAGGCGAGACAGGAGAGATCTGTTGCACCATGTGGGTAGCTCCCTGGCAGGCCAGGGATTGAACTAGTGCTGCAGTGGTTGCAGATAGATTCATACTGCTGTGACTTAACCCCTTGTGCCACTAGGGAGGCCCCTAGTTTATATTTTCTATGAATACTAAGTTGGAGGTATCTTAAGCACATAACTCACGAGCTTAAAAAAAGTTTTGTTTTCTTTTTTTTAATAGAGGCATGTTTTATTTATTTATTTGTTTGTTTTGTTTATACATGCACTGGGTACAGTCAGAAGCACGGGAGGGTGAGAGAATTCACCAGAGCCAGAGCGGGGAGCAGAGCAGGCAGAAGGACTGAAGTACACTGCTGAGGGGAGCAGCCGGGGATAGAACCGGCGCCGCAGAGGCCGCGGGCAGCTTCACAACCCAGCGCTCAACCGCTGCGCCACCGGGGAGGCCCTTAAAAAAAGTTTTTTGGGGCCTCGCTGGTGGCACAAGGGGTTAAGCATCAGCACTATGAAGCAATCCACTGAGTTAGATCCCCAGCCAGGAAGGTGACCCACATGGCCCAGCAGACCTCTCCTGTCTCACACTGCTCCCCTCAGCAGTATATTTCAGTAGATCCGCCTGTTCTGCTCCCCACTCTGTCTCTGGTGAATCCTCTGCACTCTGCACTCTGACCTGTACCCAGTTCATGTATGCATAAATAAATAAATCTTTTAAAAAAGTGTTTTTGGAGCACAATCTTTTTTTATTTTCCAAATGGAAGTTTTCCAGAGAACTCCAACATAAATAAGTAAAAATTAAGCTGCTGGTTGGAGAGATCATCTACAAAGCACTGTTCTTGTATGTTTCATTCCTGGGCCTCTGAAGTCAGACATCCGGTCTTGAAGCCCTGGCTCCACTGCTTCCTGGCTGCCTGATCTTAAACAGGTCTGCTTGTTTCCCTGAACCACTTTTCTTATCTGTAAAATGGGACTATAATAGCACTCACCTTTTAGGGTTGTTATATATAAAGCACTGATAACCATGCCTGGCCCATGGTACATGCTCAATAAATAATATATATTTTTATCTAACCACTCTGTGATTCAATTTCCTCATCTGTAAAATGGCAATATTGATAGTACCTATCACTGACAGCAGTAGCAAGGCTTCAATGGGATAATATACATAAAAGTATTTAAAACTCGGGCTCCCTGATGGTGCAGGGGTTAAAGTCAGTGCTATCAAGCTATTGGCAGCCATTGCAGCATGAGTTCAATCCCCAGCCAGGGAGCTAGCCCACATAGTGCAGCAGACCTCTCCTTTCCAGCCCCCTGCTCCCCTCAGCAGTGTATCTCAGTAGATTCGCCTGTTCTGCTCCCCACTGTCTCCAGTGAATCCTCTCACCCCTCACCCTTCTGGCCTGTACCCCAGTTCTTGTATGCATAAATAAATTAAAAAAACAAGTGTTTTTTAAAAAAAGCACTTAAAACTGTGCTGTCCAGTAGGGGTCATTAGCTATACACAAGTGCTGAGCACTTGAAAAGGGTTAACCTAATGTGAGACAGGCTGTAAATGTAAATGCACACCAGAATGAGAAAATTTATTGCCAAAAAGTAAATTAGACATATTTTATATGGATTACATGTTGATATATTTTGACACAGTGAATTAAAGAAAACATTGAAACTTATTTCCCATTTCTAATTTTTAAATGTGGCTAGTAGAAAATATAAAATTAGGGCCTACCTGGTGGCACACGGGGTTAAGACGCAACCTATGAAGCTTACCGCAGCCACTGCACCACAAGTTTGATTCCAGCCAGGGAGTAACCCACATGGCGCAGCAGACCTCTCCTGACTCGCCAGCTGCTCCCCTCAGCAGTGTACTTAGGTCAATCTGCCTGTTCTGTTCCCCACTCTGTCTCTGGTGAATCCTCTCAACTCTCGCACCTCTGGCCTGTACCCCAGTTCTTGTATGCATAAATAAATCTTTAAAAAAAAAGAAAAAATAATATAAAATTAGACACCTGGTTTGCAATGCATTATGTGGACACTGCAGCCTTGGAACATGACTGGATAGTCATTGATATCACTATTTATGCAAAAACAATGTTTTGTTTTGTCTTTTTAATTGAATAAGCCTGCTACACATGTGGGAAATTGTGGGGGATGCTGCAATGAAGAAGAGGGACCCACTTCCTCAGATGTTGGGGATGGGGGTGAACTAAACAGAACTTTGTAGTGTAGTGGTGCTAAGAAATGGTATTTTAACCTACTTATTTTGGCCACCTTAGTGGTGTGAAAATGGCATCCCAGGAACAGGAAACCTCCTAGGTTGACAGGTTAATAGCTGAGCCTGAACAGCAGGAAAAATTCTTTGCCAGGTGCACTACAATCAAGAGTGGGGTCTCCCCTGGTCGCGCAGCAGTTGAGCACTGGGCTGTGAAGCTGCCCGCAGCTTTTGCAACGCTGGTTCGATCCCAGGCCGCTGGGAGAGGGTCCCACATGGCGGGCAGACCTCTCCTATCTCGCCCGCTGCTCCCCTCAGCAGTGTACTTCGTCAATCGGCCTGTTCTGCTCCCCGCTCTGGCTCTGGTGAATCCTCTCACCATCCCGCGCTTCTGACTGTACCCAGTGTTTGTATAAATAAATACATTTTAGAAAAAAAAATTAAAAAAAAAAAGATGAGGTCTCCACTGTGTAAGGTGTATATGGTTCCTTTCCTTTTTTTTTTTTTTTTTAAGTTTTTCCATTCTTTTTCACTTATGCATACAAGAACTGGGATGTAGGCCATAGGTGTGTGGGGTGAGAGGATTCACCAGAGAGAGCGGGGAGCAGAACAGGCAGATCTACTGAGATACACTGCTGAGGGGAGCAGCAGGCAAGACAGGAGAGGTCTGCTGCACCTTGTGGGTTAGCCCCCTGGCAGGGAATCAAACTCCTGCCACAGTGGCTGTCAACAGCTTGGTATCACTGAGACTTTAACCCCCACACCACCAGGGAGGCCCGTATATGGTTCCTTTCTTTGGGGACTACCAGGTATTGCCAACTGGGGGTGTGGAGAGGTCATCACCAGCCCATCCTGCCTGCTCAAGCCCATAGAGCCCTACTCTGGTCTGGCTCTTAGGGCATTCACAGTCCACCTTTGCTCACTCCAGGCTCCTCTCTGCCCCCTTGGGGTGATGAGACCCTTCTCAGCTTTCCCAGGGCCCATGGGCCTTCCTAGCAAAAGTTCCAGGCTCTTGAGGACTGAATACCACTAACTACCACCGCCCCCAGCCTGCAACTCGCCCCGCCTCCCCAGGCCCTCAGTCTATTCAGTGTCCCAGACTCCCCCCAGCCCCTTCAGGAATCGGGTTCGCTCTCCTGGGCCCGCTCAACCTGCTCCCGGAAGCGCCCTCCCCGCCCCCTCGCGGTCTCCCCAGCCCTCCGGGCTCCCCTCAGCTTGCCCGTCGGGCCCCCGAGCTCCCTGGGCTTCCTAATCGCGCCCCAACTCCCACTGCCCTGGGCCCCCGCCTCACACACCCCACAACCCTGCCGCTGGCGCGTAAACTCTGCGGCAGCCCAGGCTCCCCGCGGCCTACCCCAGGGAAGCAGCTGGGGCGCCCCGCGCCCGCACCCCGCGCCCAGGCCGCGGGCCCACCTGCGCGCCCAGCTGGTTCAGCTGCTGCATGTCGCCGCCCACGGCCTCGGGCACCGGGTCCTGCGTGCAGTGCAGGCGGCCCATGGCGCCCGCCGCCCGGACCCGCGGCGGCCCTCGCTTCCTCCTGCGCAGCCGCCGCCTGGCCGCGCTTCCGCAGCCGCACTTTCGCCACGGGCCGCCCCGCCGCCGCGCTCCTCCCCCGCCAAGCCGCTGCCGGGCGGGTCCGGCCGAGCCGCGGGTCCCCTGAGCTCGCAGAGCGATCGAATGCAGGGGTTCCCGCCAGGTCTCCCGGCGTGACCCCGGGCCAGTGCGGGACTTCTCTCAGCCTCAGATTCACCATCCACAAAATGATCCCCGGGATGCTGCTTAAATAAGCTTAAGCCTCCTAAAACGTCTGGAACTTAGCCTGGCACACAGGAAGCCCTCAGTCAATGCCTAGCTGCTACCATTAGCATCGCTGTTATGCAGATGATGACTGCATGCCTGCTAGGTGCCTCCAGCACCTTGTGCCCCTGCGAGAGCTCACAGCAGTGCAGAGAAGTGTTCAGATTCGGGCTGGCATCTCCATCATCTGAAGGGCTTGCTATGAGGGGCTGGTGGCTGGGCCCCAACCCCAGACAATCTGATTAGAAAGGTCTAGGGTGGAGCCTGAGAATTTGCATTTCCAGTCACTTCCTCAGTTTGAGAACCTTTGGGGTAGAGGAAACTGACTCAAAGAAGTTGGACTGTGATAGTGCCAGGCAGTAAGGGATTATTGGCTTAATAGTATTTACTGAAGTCCTTGAAACGTTTTATCCCGGTGCACTCTTCCCAAGGACAGGTGGTATTCCCCAGGTAAGCATTATCCTGATTCCCAGTGGACAGATGAGGAAATGGAGGCATGCTCCCTCTAATCTAGAGCCTGACCCTCAAGCTGGGGAGCTGCTTCACCCACTCCTAAGCCAGGCCTTGAGGATAGGAAGGGGTTACCTAGAAATCTGGGCTGGTTTTCCCCACCAGGCTTTCTTCTCTACTCTTCCCTCAAAATCCCTTCTGGAAGGGCACAGACAAAATATCTTCTATTCAGAGGCTAAGCCCATCTCCTTAAGTCATTATTTTATCCCTGTGTTCATTTCCCAGACAGTACCCAGTGCCAATGGTGAGGCGGTGTTATAGGAGAGAGGGGCAGCCCAAAACCCGCAAACCTGCCTATTCTAAATGGGTTCTGCCATCCGCCGCATCAACACAAAACATATGACTTTAATGGGAAGGAACTTTAATAAAACTAGGAAACAATACAGGTAAGGCAAAGAATCTAGTTTCTAAATGAAGCACCCAAAGTTACCCGTCCCCTCGTGGGTAAAAGTCCATCCATATGGGAATGGCCCAGAGCAAGGCCCCACAGCCTGCCATGAGTCTAAAGCATCTTCCAGTGGGGACCCACAGAAAAGGGTCAAAAACAACCAGACAAGCCCAGAAGGAAAAGAGCAAAATCAACATCAAGATAAAAGCTGCCATTGTCACCTCCCCATGGGTCTCACCCACATCTGTGTCACCCAGTCCACGACCAAAAAACAAGCAAGGTTTCTTCATGTGTCTCTAGGCTCCATCCTGCTTCCTTCCTCAGTCTCTTCTGCAGCTTCTCCTCTTCCTGCTCAGCTCCACCCTCCCTTGGGTGGGGCAGGGAACCTCCCTTGGTGGTGATGGGATTTGTCTTTCCCAATGTCTTGATGGCTTTAGTCTGGAGTGGGGGTGGGGTCCACAAAGCCTGTATGGGATTAACTCAGGACATCATTTCCCCCTAACAGCAGGAGCTGGAGCACCACAGTGATAAATTTGGATGCCTGAGTCAAGTCAGAGTTCAGTCAGGTTCGCGGACAGAAAAGTGAAATTCAGAGGTAGTCTAAGTATTAACTGATGCCCACACAGACAAAGTGCTTTGAGGGTCCAAGGCCCAGGTACTTGGATGACAGGAAACATTCTGGTCACTGTTAGCCAGGGACTGACTCACTGACCAGGAATTTTAAATTTTTGTAAAACTTTTGAAAAAGATCTCTGTCAGGCATGATATTTTTTTCACATCTTTAGGTGTTAAATCAACTTGGCTGAAGTATAACTTATATCCAATGAAATGTCCCCATTTAAAGTGTTTCTTGAAATTATTTTTGACTTAAAGAAATCCTCAAGGAAACCACTGAATTTCCTTCATTTCTGATCCCACAGTGACTGTGCTGAGGCACTTGATGAATATTTGTGGTGTTAGCACATGTAACAGAAAATAAGGAAAGGGAAAGAAATTTACTTGAAACTGCCGCCTATGTGGCAGTAAACAGGGTGAAAGGCTTGTCTCCCAGACTCCTTCATCACAGGCTTCTGTCACTTCTTTTGCTTCTATATAGTCTAGGGACCCCTACTTTGCCAAGCTATTTAATTTCTAACACTTGAAGTGTAGTCCTTGGACATTACCTGCTGGGGGCTGTTGGAAATGCAGACTCATAGGCCTACCCTGGACTTGCCTATTCAGAATCTGCATTTAACAATATTCCCTGGTGATTCGTGGGTACATTCAAATTTAAGACAACTATTTCAATTTTTTTTAAAGATTTTATTTATTTATTTAAACAAGCACTGAGTACAGTCAGAAACGCGGGAGGGTGAGAGAATTCACCAGAGCCAGGGCGGGGAACAGAACAGGCCTACTGACAAAACACACTGCTGAGGGGAGCAGCGGGTGGCAGGAGAGGTCTGCATGCCATGTGAGACCCTCGCCTGCGGCCAGGAATTGAACCAGTGTTGCAGAGGCTGCGGGTAGCTTCGCAGCCCAGCGCTCAACTGCTGGGCCACCAGGGGAGGCCCAAGACAACTATTTTAAATACTTGCCATGTGCTGGGCTTTATTTTAAACATCCATGAGTGTGGAATAATACTTTGCATTGTCTACCTATTGTTGCTCATATTATTTGTTTCAATGTTTATCACATTGTGTTATTGCTGCTGTTTACACATCTGTCTCCCTACTTACTTATTATGTTGCCTTAGGCATATTACTAACCTTTCTGTACCTCCATTCTTTTTTTATTTGTAAAAGTGGAGAGTATAATAGAACCTTCTTGAAAAGATAAAATGAAACATAATGCTTGTAAAACACTTAGCAACCGGGCCTCCCCGGTGGCGCAGCGGTTGAGCGCTGGGTTGCGGAGCTGCCCGCGGCCTCTGCGGCGCCGGTTCGATCCCCGGCTGCTCCCCGTCCACCGGCGAGGGTCCCACATGGTGCGCAGACCTCTCCTGCCGCCCGCTGCTCCCCTCAGCAGTGTACTTCGGTCCTTCTGCCTGCTCTGCTCCCCGCTCTGGCTCTGGTGAATTCTCTCACCCTCCCGCGCTTCTGACTGTACCCAGTGCATGTATAAACAAAACAAACAAACAAACCAGCAAAACAAATAAATAAAGCATGCCTCTATAAAAAAAAAAAAAAAAAAAAAAAAAAAACACTTAGCAACCGGCCAGTGCTAAGTGCTCAATAAATGCTTGTTATTGTTAATATTATTCCGGTGTTTCAATCTTATGAAAACAACATGGCAAGAGGAATTTCTATACATGAATGCCTGGGTCTGAACAGAAATGTCCCAGACTTTCTGGGTTCTATATAGCATATGGAGAGTTTGTCAAGTAATGACCATGACTGATCTCTGAGAATGCCCATATTTTAGCATTTCAGGCCAACTGTGTGTTTGTATTTCTGATGAGGCTCTGGGAGGATGCTACTCTCCTTCCAACCCAACCCCCCTCAACTCCAAGTCCTCTATAAGACACCTCACAATCAGGGCCTCCCCGGTGGCACAGCGGTTGAGCGCTGGGTTGCGAAGCTGCCCGCGCAGCCTGTGCGGCGCCGGTTCGATCCCCGGCTGCTCCCCGGCCACCGGAGGAGGGTCCCACAAGGCGCGCAGACCTCTCCTGCCGCCCGCTGCTCCCCTCAGCAGTGTGCTTCGGTCCCTCAGCCTGCTCTGCTCCCCACTCTGGCTCTGGTGAATTCTCTCACCCTCCCGCGCTTCTGACTGTACCCAGTGCTTGTATAAATAAAAAAAAAAAAAAAAAAAAAAAGACACCTCACAATCTCAGTGCCATTCTTTGTTTCAATGATAAATACTACCAAAAGTCCTCATAAAATGTGGCATGTTTTCCTGAGTTGAGAATATCATAATGCTTGTAGCTAATCTCCATGCCTGCCTATTCAGATCTTTATCATTTTTTCAGTTTTTTTTTTTAAGATTTATTTTGTTTATTTATGCATACAAGAACTGGGGTGAAGGGCAGAGGTGTGGAGGTTGAAAGGATTCACCAGAGACAGAGTGGGGAGCAGAACAGGCAGCTCTATTGAAATACACTGCTGAGGAGAGCAGCTGGCTAGACAGGCTAGTCTGCTGTGCCATGTGGGTTAGCTCCCTGGCCAGGCATGGAACTCCTGCTGCAGATAGCTTGATAGTGCTGAGACTTAACCCCTTGTACCACCAGGGAGTCCCCCATTTTTTCGGTTTTATTAATAACTTGGCAACAGGCCTTCCTGGTGGCCTAGGGTTTAAGTCTCAACGCTATAATTTCTAAGGCCAGAGTTCGATCCCCGGCCAGGGAGCTAAGCCACCTGGTGCAGCAGACCTCTCCTGTCTCACTACCTGCTCCCCTCAGCAGTGTATTTCAGTCAATCTGCCTGTTCTGTTTCCCACTCTGTCTCTGATGAATCCTCTCACCCACCTGCATCTCTGGCCTGTACCCCAGCTCTTGTATGCACAAAAAATTTAAATAACTCTTTAAAAAAAATTTAACTTGGGGCCTCCCTGGTGGCACTGCACTATGAAGCAATCCTCAACCTCTGCAGCACGAGTTCGATCCCCGGGCAGCCAGGGAGCAACCCACATGGCGCAGCAGACCTCTCCTGTCTAGCCTGCTGCTCCCCTCAGCAGTGTATTTCAGTCAGTCTGCCTGTTCTGTTCCCTGCTCTGTCTCTGGTGAATCCTCTCACCCTTCTGCATCTCTGGCCTGTACCCCAGCTCTTGTATGTATAAATAAATAAATATTAAAAAAAAAAAAACCAAAACAGAACTTGGTAACAAAGACAACAGGTAAAGATGGTCTTTCCAACGTTTTCCTTCATAGTCTCCTCTAGGATG